TTGCTTCTAGGATTGATTTTAAAATTTTACTGCTGGTTTTTAAGGTCCTTAACGGTACTGCACCTCCTTACCTGGCAGAGCTTCTTAGCATTTACCGCCCCAGGAGATCTTTGAGGTCAGCAGACCTGATGCTTTTAGATGTTCCCATGGTACAGATTAAAGACTAGGGGAGAGAGGGCTTTTGCTGTGGCTGCACCCAGACTGTGGAACAGTTTACCTCCTCACATCAGATTCTCCACAAGCCTAGGAACTTTTAAAACTGCTCTTAAAACTCACCTCTTCTCATTGGCTTTTAGCAAGGTTTAACTTATTGTTTTAATTTATTGTTTTATCAGTGAGGAGTTTTATGTACTTGTGTTTTATTGTATTTTATATTTGTATTTTGTTGTACAGCACTTTGGTCAGCCTCGGTTGTTTTTAAATGTGCTTTTTAAATAAACTTGACTTGACTTGAGAAAGAGTGCCATACAACAAAAGAGTGCCATACAACTGAATAGTTCTGCTGCTCTATGCTTTCACTTCAGGAAGTGTGACTTTCATAATTTGATTTAAAATGTCACGGTTGAAAATTTCTCATTTACACTGCATGCACTGTCAGCTACACAACTAAAAGCTAGGAAGAGAAACTAGAACAAAACAACTACCAATGGTTAGTAATCTAACTTTAAAGCAAATTGCTGCTATTGCAAGAGTTGATAGTGGCAACAAATGAAGACTCTTCAGAAAGATTGGTCAGCTGGTTGTTGTGAGGTTGAAAGGGGCTCACTGTCGTTTGCGCCGGACAGCAAAACACTTGATATAAAATTAGCTGCGCACAACAGAAACTAAGTGCACATTTAACAAATGTCTCTACAAATTGCGGTGAGAGATCGGTCTTCAAATATCTGCTCTTTGTCAACACTATTAATAAACTTAGGCATGTGATTTAAAACAGCAGTGCTTTCTGGTGTCTTCTGAAAGTTACTAGGAACACATTGCATTCAGTGGCTCAGTGTGCGAGGTAGCTGCACTGGGCCTAGCTGCTGCTCTTCTGACAAACGGGTACTGAGGTGAGGACAAAAGTGGCATCACTTACTCTACTGTAACAGGATGACTTAAAATTGATCTAGTGCAATATTAAACTATATTAACCTGATGATGCTGATATGAAGAGAAAACATCACTACTAGATAACACCAATAAAAATGTAAAAAATATGAAGCCATTTTCATGCATGTGCTCTTAACTTCTATCAGATTACATCAGGAGAAGTGTAGGGCAAAATGCAAATATCCCACGCAATTGGATCGGATGAGTTTTTGGGTTGTTTTTTTTTTTTTTTT